GATGGACTCCTGCTCCCAGGTGACACTAACGAGCTCTGCTATTAACGGTGATATGAATCAGGTGTGTGTGTGTGTGTGTGTGTGTGTGTGTGTGTGTGGGCTCAACAAGCACAGCAGTCCACGCTCTCTTTGGTGACAAACTACATACATATAAATGTGCTGCTCCATTGGTTGTGTTTACACCCTAAACACACCCACAGATCATCAGATCCATCCTGTGGCTGGTGTAACCTTTTACCTCCACTGCAGGGAATCATATAATGATAGGCAGCAACAACTCGACTTCTTTCTTTTTTCATATCTATTTATCTATCTATCTGCTGAAAGAAACAGTATCAAGAATGCAGCTGATGACTTGCACAACATTTCTTGTATCCTGGGTGTTAACTGTTATGGTGACTAAGCCTGAAAGCTTCAGGTTACAGGATGATTGTTTATTTTATTTATTTTACCATTTGGGCACCACGCTGCCAAAAAATCTAATTCAGTCTGAACTTGAAGGCACATGTTTCTAGTTCTCAGTGTGGTCTGCCACAGATCTAGAAATAGCTCCACAATGCCATCTGATGGACCGGCTGAAACAAACAGCAGTGGCAGTAACCGGGGGCTCGGTTTGTAGGTTGGTTTGTCAGAATTCAGCAAAGAGAAATTAGGTTTGAAACCTAAATTCTGTTGGAGAATCAGCAACATTTGAGGAAATAAAGAGGATTTTTCAGTGTCTCTGATGATATAACTGATGATCATGGCTGTTGTATTTACCCAAGTACTGTGCTTAAATTTTGAGGTACTTGTATTACCATTAGTTTTTGACTATATAGCTGTCTTATAATCCTTTACTCTACTACATTTATTCGAGAGTGACAATTACCAGTTACTGTACAGATCAAGGTGTTATATACAAAACATGAGTTTCTAAAATACTATGCAGTTATAGATGAAACTCCCCAACATCATATGAATCACTTAAAATGAGCTTTACTTTGACCAGCTACAACAAAAATATGTTGCATGTATAGTAATGCATCAGTAAGAACAATCCCATAATATAAAACCAACAAGTCCCATTCTGCCAAGTGAGTACTTTTATTTTTTATCATTTTTAAGTACATTTGCCTGCTAATATGTCTGTTCCTCTACTTAAGCAAAATGAATGCAGGAGTTTTGTGCTGGTATTTTTACCTTGAGGTATTTCTACTTTTATTTATGTAAGAGAATACCACTGACAGTCTGTCATGAATCTATGACTGGACAAGCTTTCATTTACCAAAGTGCTTACATGTCCTGTTTCCTTCTGTGTTTAGCTTTTATAACTTTTGCCACAGTCTTGTTTGTTTTAAAGCTCTTCCTTAGTCCCACACTGGTTCACACCTAGCGTGTATGTTCTCAGACAAACAATGATCATCGACACACACGTATTCCTGAAGATTAGACTGGTGCCAGTGAAGCTAAAACCTTTACCAACTTCAGTCCTGTTTTCTGAGAAATTCTGAGGTAGAAATCTGAAGTTTCACAACTTCAGATTTCCTTTTGTAATTTAGTGTTTACTTTCTGTAATGAGCTCTGTGCTGTATTCAGTCACATCCATCTATTACCTATGCCACATATAACACACATATACAGACAGCCATTCACACTCAATTTAGAGGAAACTATTTAAGTTTTTGTAAAATATGATTATTTGCTTTCTTGCTTAGAGTTTGATGAAAAGTTTAATTTCACTTTCACGTCTGTACTTCATGAATTGGGAGTCAAGTGACTTGTCTTAGCATAAAGACTCAAAATGGGGAACAGCTAGTCTGGCTCTGTTGTAAGTTTTCTCTGCCGTCGAACGTGGTTTCTCGCCGGGAGCGGGTGGAGGTGAGTGTCGCTCGACAAGAGCTTCGGCCATCTTTCTCTTTATAACACAAGAGGTTATAATTCACCCTCTGAACAGCGCTACGTCTTCAGGGCAGATTGGAGGCTACAGTGAGTCGATATCGGAGTGACAACATGGGCCAGGGCTAGCTGGTTAGCGTGCTAACTTCAGTTGAAGAAAAGACGTGATAGAGACATGAGTTAACACTGATGTTGCTTTCCACCTCTGGAGACAGCACTTGGTGAGTAAAGAAATTAAGTTTAATGCTGAACTCGCAATGTTTCTTCTAGACTGGTTCATAAACAGCTGTGAATGCTAACGTTGGTTAAGTAGCAATAGCAAAATTTACAGATAGCTCCTTTAAAGGTAACAAAATCTGCCTACCAGCAGCTCTAGAGCTCACTGATGGAAAAACATTTATCTTGTTTGTTTAATCCACACACAAACAACAACATAATTGGTCCAACAAGTACAACAAGGTTCAAGCACCAGAATGCATTTTGAACCCTGCACAAGGCTGTGGTTTTAAGAAGGGTGACGTGCTGCTGCCAACCTTATGACAAGCTTCTCCTCTCACTCCCAGAGAGAAAGCAAATAAGCTGATTTCACAAAATGTCTTCTTTTAACTCAATTTAGGCTCTGATTGCCTGCTAACTAAATCTGAACTGGAGTCAGTTGGCAGACATCATCTTTTCAAATCTCAAAAGCTCAATCTAATGTTGACTTGTGCAGTTCTGTAATGGCCACAGAGCCTGTGTTATGTGAATAATATGCATCATCTTTTTCTTTTGGTTAAGTGTCACTTTGCATATGCACTTTGCAAATTGAGACTGAAGCCTTGTTATCTATATAAAAAAAAAAAAAAAGTAAAAGTATTAAATCTTCAGGCCGGGAACAGAGCCCGGGGCTGTCAACATCCAAGGCCACGCCGCTTACATCAAGCTCACCCTGAGACCATCCATCACAGCAACACAGGAGGTCATCTTCAGTACACACTGCGTTTCTAGAATACACTTTACTTCAGCAAGGCGCTACTGTTTATCTCCCAGCACGCAGCAGAATCATCTCGTACAGCAAAATAACCTTAACACAAAATACAGAATTCTTGATACATCATTTCCTTCACAACCAAAGGATTTCAATTTTTACTGACAGAGACAAACAGTCCACAAGCAGAGTGCGGTGGCGGCTGCAGCTCGGTTCAACCTCTCATCGTTCACCTCAGACTTTTTATTTTCTTCCATTTTCTACAAGGAGCAATAAAAGTTAATTGAACCCACTTTTCAAGAACTGGGTCATGGCCTGAGCAGGAGGAAAACACCAATTACCCCTAAAATGAGCAATTAGCGACATGCCCTATGTCGGCTTTGATACTACACAGCTCTCTTGTTACTGTACAGCTCCAACTGCCGATTTGAAGGTTTAATGTGAAATTATTTTTCTTCCACTTACTAGTTTTTTTTTTTATGTGTGTTTCTAATCACTGCCGTGATTAAGCCAGTTAGGGTTTTGTAACAGTGTGAAGTTAATTTAAGGAATGAAATTAACTCCTGAATTCCAGGAGGAAGGAAAAGAACGCTGGATACGATGGTAACTGGCTGCAATAGCATTAAAAAAAAAAAAAAAAAAAAGTTTTAATAAAAATATCTTTTTATTCCCACAGACGAACACACGAGCCAAAGGCAGACATTGCAATATGATGTTGAGAGTCTAACAGCTGGAAACTTTTCTGCTATTCTTGTCACAAAGGAGATACTGCTATTTCAACCGTCCTTTCAGTGGTGGGGGAGGCTGAGATACTGCACTACAGAGCGCCATGCAGTTACAGACTGCGTATTTGTGCATCTATCATTGGTAGTGTGAGTGAAAGCATGTGAGATTGGAAAACAGGAGCCCACTTTGAGTGGGAGAATTTGATGAGGCAGGTAAAGGGAAAGAAGTAACTTGAAAAGTTTGATCAGAAAATGCTGGTGTACTGTATCAAAAAAACTGATAGCCACCAGTGTGAGATAAAAAAACTTAATAGTTTCAAATTTAATTTTTTGCAAGGAAGAGTGTCTGATTCTTGCTGTGGTGGTTCTGAAATCATGGTGGCACATCAGATAGGAAAACCAAAGAGTGATGGCTCAGCTCGACTTTGATGGATGGCTCCATTTGCTCCAACAATCACTCAGCTCCTCCTGCGGACCCTCCACACCCTCGCCCAGCCCCACATGATGGTCGATTATATTTTTACTTGACTGCGTTATGAACACAATCTGCTGATGTTCAAGTCTCCGGTCTCCCCATCCATCAACAGCGTGCTGCTGAGGCGTCAAGAGAAATCCTCCTCCATCCCTCTTCCTTGTCGTGTTGAAAAGAGCAGAGCGAGCCTCACAGTCAAGGACTCAACATTGTAGCCACGGCGCTCTGTAGCCCTCTGGTCCAGAGCAGCTTCCAGTCTCATAGTCTTCTCATTATGTACAGCAGCTTGTCTTGCAAATCTCTCGTTGTTGATCCCTGGAAAAACTCAGAATTCAGCGTTTTGGTTATCAGGATCGACTTGTGATGTCATCTCGTGAAACTGAACTTTTCTGTTGTTTTTAAGCATTGAATTTTAGAGCTTAGCTTTAGAGTGAATCCTTGAAATAGTACATTTTAAAAAAATACATGGACAGCATGATCATTCTTGATTTCATTCATGGAAGATGTACATTTATACAAGGTCCCCATTCTCACTTTGACATCAAATTAACATTTTTTTTTTTAAGGTCTATTCAGAGATTTTTAACTTTAATTCTTTACATTTTGATTTAAAATACCACATCTGTCATTTTTGTGTTAAGAGAAAAGGATTAGCTTAAGGCTCCTGTTTTGCTCTTCATCATTTTCGAAATAAAACTGAATGTGCTTCCTGTTTTAATGATTGTAGTTTGTTTGAAAGTGGAGCTGTACAGAGCAGCACCTCTTTTTCTGATGAACTACTGGAAAGATGTTTTGCTGCACAACACCTTAGGATGGGTGTGTGTTATTAAAAAATGCATGCATGTGACCGCCTGTCACCATCCACATGAGCCAATCTACAAGTCTTGTTTAGTGAAAATCAAGACATCAAGACACGGTCAAGTACGCCAGTGTAAATATGACGAGTCGCCCAGAGAGTCTATTCATTCATTTGGGTGATATATTTCATTGCAAATAAAAAAAAAAGTACTTTCAAACTCCATTCATTCATTCCACTTTAAGGCCTTACAGTATGTAATTATTCTCAGCTCTGTAAAATCTCAGGTCTATGAGATTCCTGTTTGCAGATATATGTTTTTACAGCTGACAAATAAAGAAAAAAAAACCGGATACAATCTGGATTACATATATTCACAATCAGTCACGACCAGCATCTATTACGGAAGAGCACAGATCATTGGTGTGGTGTGAAATGACACCGTTTTCTCCCTCTTTCAGGGATCGTTCCTTCCCACACTGGCTTCACAGTTCTTTGATAGCAAGACCATGAATTAAAAAAAAACCCTTGTCCTTCCGCCATGCGTCCCCCATGCACCTTTAGGTCACTTAATTTTTAGTTATAATACATTAATAGCATTTCATCGGTCAGCCCAACCACCTCCTAAAATCTCTGTCCCTTCACAATCCGTGTACCCAGCACCCTCCTCATCCTCATCACTGGGGTCCCAGTCCTCCCTGGGTGCTCTGACCGTCACTGTGGTCGCTCCCCCACAGGCGGTAAAATTGACTGAAGTCCACGTAGGGCGGGACCCGGCCCGTCTCGTCGGGCTGCGCCGCCTGACTGCCTCTCTGGCGGAACAAGCTCCCGTCTCCCGAGCTGGAGCTGGAGCTCTGCGTCTGGGTGTTGGTGGACTGGAGGGTGGCCGTTGGGCTCTGACTGCTGGGGAGAGCAGAGGAGGAGGAAGTGGAGGGGGAGGAGAAAGGTGGGTGGTCGGGGAGGGTGGAGGACGGGGAGGAGACAGGTATGAGGGTTGGAATAGAGGACGAGGAAGTGGGGGCATCGGAGGGGAGGAACGGGTCCGTATCGGGGGTGGACAGACAAAGGAGAGAGGTGGAGATGTGGAGAGGACGGAAAGGAGGAGGGGTGGTGGAAATGGAGAAGAGGGAGGTGGAGAGAGGGAGTGTCGGGAGGGGGGAGAGGGGGAAAAGAGAGGAAAAAGGGAGTTCAATTATGGGCTGCAGAATGTCGACGGAGGTTTGGCAGGTAGTGGGGCGAAACGTGCTGAAGGAGCGGCAAAAGGAGAGGCAAGGACGGAGAGTAGGACACAGGATGGATATTGGCAAGTCGGGGACCATGAGGAAGAGAAATATAGATGTGAGTCAGACAGTGAGTGACAGACGGGAACAGAGTGGAGTGGAGACAGTGAAAGTAATCCCTGCGGATGACTGAGCGAGGGGCAAATGAGGAGAAGAAGAAGAAAATGAAGCACATGCAGCAGCTCAAACAGTTCTCTCATGTTCAGTCATGTTACACTACAGGTAGTTTACGGCAGGTAACCCGACAAACAAAAGCCACATTCCAAGAATCCTGACGAAAAGCTATAAATCATCCACGCCGTGTTGTTAATTTACCTGGAGGAAGAACATTGAATATGTTTGTGATTCCAAACAAATATCACTCGATGCAAAATACAGGAAACTGGAAAGTCAAGTTGAGTGAATAATCACAAATGCAAAACATGTGAAAAGTCACTTGTGGAAGGCAACACGAATGCAGCGCAACATAAGCGAGGTCACCTGTTACCGTTACACTCAACGAGGCAGTGGACACATCGTATAGGCTCCTTGGGTTTGATTGAATACCATGTTAGTCATCATTTGTTTGAACTCCGCAGGGCAAATGCCTGTCACTGCTGTACAGGTTGTGTTGAAAAGCTTGTTGTCGCCACCAGCTGGCAGCACAAGCAGAGGACTGGGGACAGTTCCTTTCATCACTGATGCTGGAGCAGCAATTTGTCAAATTATTAATTTTCTTGGAAAAGCATAAATATGTTCCTGTGTAATTTGTTTCTGCCAAACACTGTAAATCAGAGAGCATTACATCTATAGATTTACACTACTGTATATGGTATACATTGTATTCTCATGGGAAAGTTCAATATTAAATTATTTGTGCAGCTGTATTTGATCAAGCTTCCCTTTCTACACTATGAAAAGGAGCCCAGGCTTGACACATGGTGGAACAATGGGGAGGTGAAAACCATGCTCACACATCAATAAGCGTAGCAGTGGAGGGACACAGGGGAGTGAAAATCAAGCTTACCTAAAACAAATATAACAAGGGAAGGACGAGGGAGTTGAAAATGTTGTTTATCTACAATACACCAAAAATAAACTCAACAGCGGGGAGGGAAGTGTGGAGACAGAATAACTCAAGAGTGAACACAAGAGGAGTGGCACATGGGAGTTCAAACCAAGCCTCTAAAAACACACAGAGCAGGAAGCAGGAGAAAAGCAGGTGAAAATGAAGCTCATGAATAAAGAACACAACAGTTATGAGGCAAAAAAAAGGCAAGAAGGGCGTGCGCGGAAAACAGGAAAAAAAAAAAAAAAAAAGATGTAAAAATCAAGCTTACCCAGAACGAGCAGGGACAAGAGACAAACCGAGCTTACCCTGGTGTGGGGGTGCCTTCCTCTAAGGTGGAGGCAGTGTTGGTTCCATTGGTGAGGGTACTTTGGGAGGGCATGACCAGTGAGAGGGTGACGCTAGTTTTACTGGTGCTCTGGCTGTTGGAGTAGGGCACGGACACGGGGTAGATACGACCACCTGAAAGAAGATTTAAGAAAAATAAATAAATAAAATCACATGAAATTCTTGAGTCCAGTTCGTCTCCTGTTCAGTTGTTTTCAAACGAAAATGTCCGAGGGATAACAATGTTGTTTTTTTACTTTTCATAAGTACTATTATCAAGAAACTCTGAGTGAAACTAGTGTGCATGCTCAGCATAAAATGGGCATTACCCAGAGTAAATTGGATATTTTCTTTCTGGACCTTGTTATTTTGGCTCAATGTGATATTTTTGGCTTCACCTCTCAAAAACTTTGATGTCTTTTTCTAAAAGCCTGCTCAGACATGGATAAACATACTATGATTTTAAGATTTCTTGTGTGTAAGTGTAGCTTTTCAGCGTAGGACTAATTTTAATCCAAGAGAAACCAACCCTAAAAAATCCAATATATATTTACTCCAACATGAACTGGAGTTTTATAAACTTCAATATGGTTCTGATTTTTAACAATCCTGAAATGGTCCAAGTCCTTTAACATTGGATATCTACTGATTCTTCGCCTGACTGACTGCTGACTGAATATGTATCTGACACATTGAAATAACAGCTGGAGATACAACTTGGCACGCTCTATTTTTCTCAAGCTCCTTGAACCAAATACTGAAGGTCCCGATTCAAAACTATAAAGTTGATAAGTTTCTATTATTCTGATGATACAGATCCTGAGGATCAGCTCAGGACATCTGTACTTGTAATGATTATTCTATCCTGAAGTCTAACATGGTCCATAAGCTATTGGTAATCACTCTGATGATTGGCAACACCCAAGATCATCGTCCATTGGCACAACCAAAATTCTGATTTAAGTTAATTATGATATAATTCGTTTTTGCTTAAAGTGCTAGCAGCTCATGAACATATGTGACCTTTGACAAGTGGTTGTGAGTTGACTTTCTTTTAAAGTGCTGCGAGCCAGAAAGTTTGGAAACCACTAATATAAAAGTACAATTTTTCAACATACTGCATGATGTGAATAAAACATGTTTCACACGCCTCTAAACTCTTAAAGTTTTAAATGAGGAACACTGGCCTTGGTGTAGCCAGTATGGCGGTTTGTCCCTGGACAGGCTGTCTGTGAAATGTGAACTAATCCCAGAATGCCCTTCCCCTACCCTGTGTGGGCGTGAGCGCTCCATCAGCCAGCGGCATGTTGAGCGTGCGGATGAGCAGGGTCATGTCCTCATGCCGAGAACAGTAGGTCGACCTCTGACGGCCGGACACGTAGACGTCGTGGTGCAGCCGCTTGACGCGCTCCACCACCGACTGAGCCACTGCCTCCAGACTGTTCTGCTGGGCCAGCTCTGCTGCTACCATGGCAACGATTTCCTACAGTGACAGCAGAGGAGACGGGGAGTCAGAGAAAAGCTATATTGATGTTAGAGTTGAAAAAGTAAGTACGATGAAGAGGGTGAAAAGAAGCATTTTAAATTGAGATGAAAAGACAGGAGAAGACGAAGCCAAAGAGGAAAAGAAAGAAAACATAAGAAGTGAGTGAAAGAAAACAATAATGGACACTTAGACTAAAGTGGCCATGAAAACAGGACTTGGAATAAAAGAAGAGGCGAGGAAAAGTAAGAGAAAGATGAAAAGGATAAAACAGGATGTCTGGGTAGGAGGAGATGACAAGGAGCATAGGAAGGAAGTAGGAAGGGTAAAGAAAGCAGATTTAGACAAACAAGAGTGGGTGGATTTCAAAAGAGGGAAGAGAAACATTAATGCAGAAAATAAATAAAAAGAGACACCAGAAAAACAAGTAGAGGGAAAAGTGGTCGAGGAGGGAAGAAAATGTCAGGATGAATGCACTAACCTGATTGGCTTGTTCAGGGCCGTGGGCGGACTCAAGGGCATTGATTAGACCTTCTGACATGAGCAACAAGAAGCCTGTCACACCGTCCAGAGACTGGCTGCCATGAATCTCTGGCTCTGCGACGACTGGCCTCGTCTTGGCCGGACTGATGGTAGAGGAGGACAGGAGGAGATGGATATATGAGGAGATAAATGAATATCAGCGAAAGAGAAAGAGGAAAACAGGCAGGGCGGGGACAGAAAGTGAAATTTAGATAAAAGAAAAGACAGTAAATGATCAAGTCTGGAGGAGAGACTGGGAGACGGTATGGAAATAGAAAGAGGGAGGAACTGAGACAAAAAGAGAGACATAAGTGCACCTGCCCTAAATACAATAAATCTAGATAATCTCATAGAGCCAAAGAATTTGCTTGTACTGTGACCACATCAAATTTCCTGCACTCTCTCTGGTCGCACTAAGGAGGATATTCTAGAAAGCTTCTATTACGAGTTTTATTTAGTATAGTAATTGGAATGACTCATAGATATGTGAGCCTGATTCGCTTTGGCCTGGACAGCACACAGGAACAGGAAATGAGTGTGTGTGTGAGAGAGAGAGAGTGAGAGAGAGAGAGAGAGAGAGAGAGAGAGAGAGAGAGAGAGAGGGGCCCCCCCCCAGGATCATGGAATTTCAAGAGGCTCAGCTGTGGTAAAAGTGAGGGCTGGAACAGAGTCAGATCAGATAATAAAGCCTCCACTGTCCAGGTACCGCAGAGGACACACACTGATACAGGGAAAACCCCCCCCAAAAAAAAACATGATTGTACATTAAAATGTTTCATTCGCTGCCCCAGTTTCCCTTGAACCACAGTTCTTAAAGGAATAGCGCAACATTTGGGGAAAACATGGTGAACCCTTTCTTGCCCAGAGGGAAACGAGAGGACTGATACCACTTTCTTATTTTGTATTCAAGCAGGCGAATAGCTTAGCTTAGCATAAGGACTGGAAGTATGAGGAAACATGTAGCCCGTCTCTCTCCAGTCAAATGACAAAACAAAATCCGCCCACCAGCACATCTACAACACCTACACTACACTAATTAACACCTTCTTTCTACGGACCTCACCCCCCCCATGAGCTGTGTCCTTAATAAAGACCGAATGAATCTCATTTGTTTTGCTCGTCCTCACAATTAGGCAACTAGTGGAGACTTGAGGAAGTCATTGGATTTTCTCTTTGTGGATTAAACAAGCGAGATATAACGTGTTCATTAGTGAGCTTTAGCTCTTTAGGTCAGCAGATTCTTTATCTTTAAAGAGGGTCGGACTAGCTGTTTCTCCTGCTCGCTAATTGTCTCCTGCCTGAAAAGAACAAGAGAGAAAGAAAAAAAACTTTTGATGATATCTGAAGGAAGATGAACTCACTGATTCATCAAAAATACAAAACTGGATCTCTAAAGGAACATCTTCTGTATGCATTTAAATGAAGTTCTATTTACTTAAAAAAAAAAAACTATTTGTTATTGCTGAGTTGTATTTAATTTGTCTTTCTTCCTGATACTTCTGATTAATTCTTCTGATCTTTCATGACGGACTAAGACGTGCCGTGAAGTCAGACAGAGAAGGAAACAACAGGAAAAGACAGACAGACAGAAACTGTAGGTTTGAATTCACTGGTTCAATATTTCTAGATGATTTTACCATTCAGGCTGTAAATTATTCATTTTTCCAATTTTCCTTTGCGTTTCATAAACAGACAAAAGACCAACGTAATTTAAAAAGAGGCTTCACCTGAGCAGGTCAATTTCACTGTAGTTGAATTTGACCCTGTAGTCTCCGAGCCTCCTGGTGCTACTCTGTCCCGCTATCTGCCCCGCCTGCCTCACACGAGCCGAGTCCACACCTAGAGGAGAGGAGAGGAGAGGAGAGGAGAGGAGAGGAGAGGAGAGGAGAGGAGAGAGCAATAAGACAAGAGCAATAAGTAGAAGCAGGAGGTGGGGGGTGGGAAGTGGAGAGGGGTGCATATTTGTGTTTGGGGTGGGGGGGTGGATGAAAATAGGGGAGAGGTCACCTTCAGCTGGGTTAATGGAATGACTGTCATTTCATTTAAATCATTCGGAGAAAGGCCCGAACAACAGAATAATTATGAGACTCCCGACTGGCAGAGACGGAGAGAGGCAGCGAGAGAACAAAGAGAGACAGAGCACCACCTCATCATCTAATGGTGCGGCGGGAACTGCTGGGAAACAGTGCCGTTAATGTTGAGTCCCTCTTATATTTATTGCAGGTGCCAGGCAGCAACGAAGGCTCCCTCCGCAGAGCTAATCACAATGTATGTATTTTCTGTTACATACACAAACCCTCATTAATGGACCATTAGCCTGGTTGTCCACCATGGATAGATGACTCGGAGTGCGTCTCTGTGCCAGCGAGTCGGCACTAATGGCTGTGTCTCTATCGGCCTGAATATCCTGCACAGAATCCAAAGAATGTAATGAAAGGTGTGTCTGAATGTTCTTAAGGCTATTGTGATAATCTGATTTCTTTCAACACCAAGATACTTTCTTGTGTATTCATCGTTCACAGCCAGTTATCTAACTTCATAAAAACTGAACAGAAGATGAAACGAAATCCAATCTAAAAAAGCCTTGAGCTGAACTGAAAGAATTCGGACAGAAGTAACTGACAAATTCACAAAATTCTAAAATATTTTATGTTTATTTAAAAAAAAATTTGAATAGTTTAGTCTTTTCTAGGATTATTTTCTGTGTTGTTAATTCTCAGCAAACATAACTTGGTCAAAGTGTAGTATATGGCCAGTAGGGACGGGTACAAGTACTCGAGTAACGATTCACTATCGCACACCTGCGCACGTGTTGTTTTTTGGCTACATTAGTTCAACTCGGTTAGCGTTACGTGTCACGGACCTCCTGTATTTCTTTTCTTAACGGTATACGGCGAGTAATCGAATACTCGTTCATAAGGTATGAATACTCCAATACTGAAATTACTGAAAATGCCCATCCCGAATGGCCAGACTGTATGGTCAATGTGTGAAATAGGAGGAGGTGGTTGCTGGAACTGCTGTAAACTACGATGACCGTTTTGCGGTTGTATAACTCCACCAACCAATCAATTTGCAGGAATTATGGCCACAGTCTCCCCTCCCTGAGCTACAAAGCTGAATAATGGCCAGACGTGTTTTTGCAGAACATTATGTCACAGTGACTTTTGGCCATTTGGATTTAAAATGTCATCATTTCATCATTTTATCCCATTACATGTTTATGTTCAATTGTATCATAATTAGCGTATGAATTAACCTTGACGTATGACTAACAAATTTAATATCAGTTCATCTTCCCAGGAATAGGATGTCACTGTGACCTTGAACTTTGACCTTTGCCTGCAAAAGTCTAATCAGTTGATCTTTGAGTCCAAGTGAATGTTTGTTCCAAATCTGTAGAGGTTCCCTCAAGGCGGTCTTGAAAATATCACGTTCAAGAGGCCAAAAACGTGTTTTGTGAGGTTGCAGTGACCTTGACCTTTGACCACGAAAATCGAATCAGTTCATCCTTGAATCCAAATGAATATTTGTGCCAGATTTGATGAAGGCATTACTGAGATATCTCGTTCATGAGAATGGGACCCAGGGACATACAAGCAGACAACCTGAAATCATAATGCGTCCGGCCCTGGCTGCTGCCGACGCGGAGGCATAACATCTACTTTCAAAAAGTCGCTAAATGTTGCTAGATGATGTAATATGCTAATGAGCAAGTTCACGATGTCATCACATCATATGTGCATTCTGCCGGTTTCAGCCCTTTATCTGTTCTGAGCGACTCTCTTCTATGGAAAGTAGCAGAAAAGAAGAAAAGGAAACTGAAAACAAAAAATAATAATTCCTAAAATATTATGGAAAATGAATCTGAACTGAAGAAGTGCACCAAACTAACTCTGGTCAGATGGTGCATCTGTGTTCCTTTCTGTCATCTTTCTAGGTAACTTCCTCTCTGTGTCTCACCCAGGGTGGCCAGTCTCTGCAGCTCGTCCTCGTTGTCGGTACTGTGCGGTCGTCCGATCTGGAGAACCTGGTTCTGGCCGTCGCTGCTGGACTTACACAGCAGTGCCCTGTTGGTACCTGGAACCACAGACAAGCAGAAAAAAGTATTCAGAAAATGAGAAAAGTGAACTACAGCCAATAATAAATCTCTGAAGCGTATATACACCTTCTGCATTTTTACTTGTCATAGTAGAAGATTTGCAGGTGCAGCTAATAACATTAAGGATGGTCCGAGGTTCAGGTTTTGTGCACGCTCGCCGGCTGCCCAGCTTATAATTTGACAGTCAGTGGAACAGAGTAAAAATCAATCTGTAAAAATGTGTGCTGCGCAAAAGGCTAATTCCAGGGCTCTGTTATGGGTATGCCAAAAAGGAAAGCAGCCATTATTGTTAACAATTAAACCTGTGTTTAACAAGTCAAAATGTCTGCTGTTAAAAATGACCATAATGCTCTTGTCTATAGTGTCTAGACTAAATGACCTGTATAGTGAAAGGTGTTTCACCCCATTTATAGTAGAAACACTTCAATATAATGCAGTTTATTATAATAACAGCTTCAAAAAAATGACGACAGAGCTCAGTCAAGGTCTCAGTGTCAACAGATGAGAGGATTTACTGTATTAGGTTGTTGTATAGAGATGTACCAAATAAACTGCTACGTCACTGTGTAACCTACATTTTAAACTTGATGTTAATCAACTTCATAATTAAAATGTATTTTAAAAAATATTACAAGAACTGTAATATTCAAATATAAAAATGACTCTCTCGTCATCTCGCCCCCCCCCCCCCACACCCCCACACCCCATTCATATTCATGAGACATTTTGCCTCGTGTTTTTTTCCCCCGTATTAATGATGCAGAGATAAAAATGCGCTGTCGTCGCTCTGAGGTGACTCACAGACCCAAACCTCAGCCAATTAATCAGCTAAGATGCTGTGGTACTTTTAAAAAGCTAAATATGAATCACCGGCTGATGAAGCCACTTCCTGACACATAAGTTGACCAGGGACAGACCAATGATTCATTTACACTGAGTAGAAGCGTGACACAGGACCAGACCACCACCGCCGCCTAAATTGTAAGCTCTGATAATGCCTGGAGTTGGGTGTGCTGCTAATCTTATCTGCAGACAAGGCCATCCAAGCAGCTGTATATTGAAATTGCAGGGAGGGGGGCCGTGTGCCTCTGTCTGTCCTCTGTAGGGCCATGAGGCTTCAGCCTGTGTAACTGAAAACACTCTATCTAGCCATTTAGTAAACATGGTCGTCATGTTCATACGTGCAACAACAACAACAAAGGTACAAATCAGCAAAGAGCAGCCAACCCTCAACCACTGTATGTTCATATATCCTTGGCTGCTGCTCTGCCCCCACCCACCCACCCACCCACCCACACACACACTCCCAGCATATCAAATTATGGGTCATACAACCTTAACTGTCAAATATATTTCACATCAACACACAGCTGGGAGTGCTTTTTAGAGCACACTTACTCTTATGTTTAAACCTCCCTGGGATCCATGTTCTGTCAACTTTGAACTCCTGACCCTCACACAACGGGCCAGTGGGGAGAACAGTCCTCCTTTCTACCCACTACTAATTACTACACCCCCCCCACC